CCTACCCATCACTGCCTTCTTCAGGGAACACTTGGAACCTTCAGTAGGAGTGGCTTAATAGTTGACCTAGACCACGAGGCATACACTGGGGAATTCGCGGGGTTGGCTACTCAGCGACAAACAGCGTTTGTAGGGGAGGAATCCACTACAAGGTCTTATATAGCGGAGGTAGGCGTGGCTTGACAGTTGACCTCAGTTATGTTAGGCGGCGCCGGTTGCCGACCTTGACCATGAGGTGCAGGCTGGGGAATTCGAGGGTCGGCTAGTCAGCGACAACGGCGGTTGTAGGGGAGGAATCCACTACATGTTCAACAGGTTTTGGCCAATAAATCATTGCGTCCACGTCCTCGGGCTATCATTCCTACCTAATCGCTTCATGGTGATTAAATACCATTATGGCCAGTGCCGGATTTAGACCTGTGGAGGCCCATGGGCAGTCTCTTTGTGGAGGCCCCCCTCATTATAAATACCCAAGAGGGTGGGGTGGCGAGTGAAGCGAGCCTAAACATCTTGAATTTCAAACATTTTGAAATTTGAACACTTCTTTGGAGAATTTTGAAGCCATATGCAGTTATATTGAGGAAATTAGAACATTGAAAATTATTTAATTAACTGTATATTTATTGATAGTGTACAAATTCCCAACACACACACACACACAAGAGTGAGACATGACTGGAGTCATTCATGTGGTTTCAAGTCGACCAACCCTGATATAGCTACTACCGCAAGTCAAAAATTTTCAAGAGACTTCACATTAAAGAATATATTATTAGTTATTACAGAGAGATGATTCTTTGCATTATTAATCAGATAAACCTCTACTCAAATAATGGTTCTGTCCAAGAATGCATGGAATAGATAAACATGAATTTTTAAGAATGAAAATAAAACTAATCCAAATGAATAAACAACTAAATAAAATATTGTATGCGGAGGCCCCTGGACAGCTGCCCACTTTGCCCACTCCTGAATCCGGCCCTGATTATGGCAGATTGCAAATGTAGGTCTGAAAATATGCAAATAATGATAAGCTTTATAAAATATTATATACTTTTATGAACAATTTACTTTAGATAATTTTATGTGTTTCTTAGGCTGAGACTATGGTGATAGGCCTATTTCTGAAATATTCCGTTTTGCCCGCAACTTAATGTTAAAAAATTTAACATAATAGAATATCCTCAACCTAAGAAATATATCAATAATTTTTTACTTCATCGATGTGCACAACTTAAAATCTATTGGTACAGTATATGATCAATGCACCTAGACAATTTTTCTTTTATTTTATTTTCATAGTAGGTAGTAGGCAGCTATCAAACAGGGAGGTACTACCACCTGGGAAGATATTGGAAGCATAATGTATTGTCTAATGGTGTGGCATCCCAAAAATTGTGACCAAGTCCCAGGATGCTCATCTGACTTTCTGCGTCATTTACACACAATTGCACGGTTTCCATTGTTTTTTTTTCTGACTATTGACAACATTATCAATATATATATATATATATATATATATATATATATATATATATATATATATATATATATATATATATATATATATATATATATATATATATATATATATATATATATATATATATATATACAGTATATATATATATTTAATATACTCATTCACACTATTTTATAATTGCAGTCATGTACTGAATATTCTATGTACAAAAAATAAATGTTAAATGAATATATATACTGTATATATATATATATATATACAGTTAACCCTCACTTTACGCGGTTAATGTAACCCGGAGGGTACCGCGGAAAGTGAGGAACGCGTAAAGTGAATAACATAACATATGGGATTAATTGAAATGGAGTCCGGGCCGATCCCCAAACTCCACTTTTTGACGACACACAACTATGTTGTAGTAAAAATATTATCTTAACTTTATGATGGCATGCACACAAAATTAATAATTAAGAGAAATGTCAATAATATTAGGTTTTTTAACACTTACATTAGTAGAAAAGATGGCTGGGCACACGGGGATGGGCGGTTGGTTCCGAGGCAGAGGGCAGATTATTGGCCCTCACCTGTATCACTTGTATCAATTGTATCACTATCCACCACAGAGGCTTGCAGGGCCTCTTTGTCAAACCCCCAAAGTTCATATAAGTCCATATCCTCACTATAATTATCACTATCACTGACTTGGGCCGGCTGTAGTGGGTGGCGGGTGAAGAACTGGGAATGTTTTGATGACTGGGCGACCTTGTGCGCACCATTTTTGCGCCTCTTACACAACATGGCGGATGGCGGGAGGTTTGGATCCAAAAATGGCGCGGCTTGCCAGCCGCTCTCCGCGTAATGGGGTTCACGACCGCGGAATGTGAGCATGTTAGGTTCCGGCAGGGCACCGCGTTAACGGTGAACCGCGGAATGCGGACCGCGTAATGTGAGGGTTGACTGTATATATATATATATATATATATATATATATATATATATATATATATATATATATATATATATATATATATATATATATATATATATATATATATATATATATATATATATATATATTTATATATATATATATATATATATATATATATATATATATATATATATATATATATATATATATATATATATATATATATATATATATATATATATATATATATATATATATATATATATATATATATATATATATATATATATATATATATATATATATATATATACAGATATGCATTACTGACCACCTCCGAACACAAGGACGGCTAAAAATAGCCACAGGCGGTCACAGTCAAGGTCACTTTCCCTTTCTTGTCACTGGCAAATGGGGGTGGGGGGGATGATAATAGCAGCTGTGTTTATTACGGTATGTTAGACTGGTTTATAATACATTTTTATTATTTTAATATACCGGTAATCTTCATTTTAATCCAGCTTACCAAACGTAAGTTTCAGTATAAAATAATTAGTGGTACTGTAGGACCTTGTGAGTGGTTTACTGTATACATAAATATTACATAAATTATTTCTGCAATTCTTCACAAACAAAACACATAAATCAATTGAATATGTGATGTCGAACGTAAACTGTAAACACTGTGTATGATGTAAAGAGAGCGCGGGTGTAAAACGCTATGTAATTTGATTTTCTCTTTTATGTAAAATTTTACAATTTACTTATAATATATAGGTATACTGTATACATAAATATTACATACATTATTTCTGCAATTGTTCACAAACAAAACACATAACTCAATTGAACATGTGATGTCGAACGTGAACTGAAGTCACAACAACCGTTCGAGTGGAATCGCGTTAGAGCAAACGAGTTCGCGTTATACAAATATTGTTCCGAATTCATAAATCGCGTTCGATCAAATTCGCGTTATCAAAACGCGTTATAGCAGAACTCACTGTACTTACTTTTCTTTATTTTTGGGAAATCGGTGGAATATGAAATCGGGATGTGTATCCTTTCTCCGTTTGCAGATTATGCACGGGTGTCCTTTACTTGTCATGTTGAAAAGACCATTCATTTGTGTATTGCGCTCGCGTGCGGATTCCGATTATCATATTCAATGTGTAAGCAAACAGACGACATGCTCCACACTAGCGACATCCATCCACCGCACTACTAAATTTGTGCGTTCGTTCGTGTGTTAACCATTACATGTGAATGCCTGAGCTTTCCTGTCTTTCTTATAGTATTTGCTATTACATTGTCCCAATGATCAAAACGTTCCTGTTATCCCCTCCTCTCCCCCAACAGTAGGTCTGTTAGCTGCCATCTCTTCAACACACTTCTTCAGAGTCCCTAGCTGCTGTAGAACTTGTTCGGATCCTACATTACCCTCCGCCACCTCCGTGGCCCTGCCAAGGCCTAAGCATAACTTCTCTTCACTACCACCTTCATTCTATCAGCTACTTCCTCAGTCTTAGCAAGGATCTCTTTCCCAACTTGTTTTAGTTTGTCAACCAGCAAGGATCCAGCTTCATCTATTTTCGTCCCTAGGAAACTCGTTCCCCTGTGGCTTGCAATCGCCTCTTGCACTTTGTCTAAGCAGTTAGGGCAATACCAGCAACAGCCTTCCTGCCTAACCGCATTCTGTATTGTCCTAAACGTTGTATTGCTCAGACCCGCACAATCTATATCCAACATCGCCCAGCAGTAATTGCACGTCAACAGACTTCCTGGTGACGCTTCAGCCCGCTTCTCTGCCAGCATTTAGGCCGTTGTGACTAGTGCCACCCACCGGGCAATCACACTTAATTTCTTTTGACGAAGAAATTTACCCCTAATTGGGAAGACTTCCTTTATAATCACATCTACTAATTGAAGTCTAAGTGAAGTGAGATCTGGGAGTGATCATGCCCTTGTTGTTTAAAAAGGAAAAAAAAATCACTTAGCTGCCCTATGCTGATCTTACCTCCTCGGCACTCTCATGCGTCCAGTGTTGCCGCCCAAGACAGTTTGAGTTGTCTTCTGTATTTGTTTTTTCAGTTCTCCTCAATGAGTTGTTGGGATCTACAGTATGTGCTATCACTGTGTACACAGTATCTCTCAAATGGTGGACTGCAGGGGCACAATTTCAGTTCTTGAGAAAGCACACATACAAGAAAAAAAGTCTTTGTGACACCAATAATATGACTTGATTACTGCCGGCAGTGGTGCCTGATTTCTTGCCCCAATTTGTTCTTCACTTAATTATTTACAACCTACTCCGCAGCCACTGATGTCAATATGAACTGTCTTAACTAAAGGCACAACACTACACTCTCTGGTTGGCCTTTGGATGGTCAATCGCAGCCATGAACAAGACTAAAATAAAATCTGAATAAATCTTGTCATATGGCAATGATTTTGTGGTTGTACGCCTCCCGACCTAGGCTGTACCTCCAGTCGGTGGAGAGTGATTTTCAAATATACAATCGCGATATTTGAAAATCACTCACTTTTTCTTTAATCATATAGGGATACACTGTAATGATAAAGGACATGACAAATTAAAAAAAATACATTTATCAGAGTACTGTACAGTACAGTATACAAATGCTTACAAAAAATCAATATACAGTGCAGCCTCAAAAATTCGAATTGCATGGGTCCATGAAGTATACGAATTTTGGATGTATGGAAGCGCCAGAGCAAATTGTTGTATCAAAACATGCTACAAAAATTATTTACATATCTAAAAACTGTCAATAAGCAATAGGAATAATAAATTAAAAGTATTACTGTATTTATATTCAACAACATTTATTATAATATATTTGGAACATTATAGCTACAGGGGTCTCCATGTAATCCTGACAGTCTCCAGTACAGTCTTCAAATACTGTACTGTACAACACTCCATCTCCATCCACCTTCACTGTTGTGCTCAGCATTATGATGATATTTGAAAGCTTGAATTATTATGGCAATATTTTCAAATTCAAAACCTAAAATTTTGACCATATATGCTATTCAAATTTTAGATGTACAGTATACGAATTTTAGAGGTTTTATTGTACTGTACAAAACACAAAATTAATGATATAATCTGCCAGACCAAAATCTTTAAGCCAAAAGGTCCAGTAACCAATGATATACAGTATTGTATATTTCTTTACCCTCTCCTGTACCTATTCTTACTCGACTCATGCAGTACACAAACTTTCAGGACAGGTACCTCTAAATTTCATTAACCCTTAAAGGGCAACAGACATCATAATTATGATGTTTAGGATTTTTGTGCCATGGCTGTGTTGTTGTCTGGTTACTATGATAACTCTGGTGGTTCTAGACACCACCCACTCACCTCCCCAGTTCAACTCATGATTTCAAGAAATTATAATTTTTCGTATTTATTCACTAAATATGAATTTGTAGAATAAATATTCAGCTTTCTAATGGTGCAAAAAGAAGAAAAGAAAATCTCAATTAGGGCACATTCTACATGTACAGTGTTTGAACAACATTATCTCACACGATTTGCTCTGGACAACGCACATAAATACACCCACCAATAAAGGGTTATTAGCTGAAATGACATTTCACATGGTTGATGGACCAATTTCTAGACCACACAGGAGCCATAAATATGACACATATTTGCAGAAATTATGAATTATAAGTCTTATCCTAAATATCAATGAGATAAAAGCTGTTTACGGGAACTAATTTTCTTATTCAATCCCTACAAATTACACTTAAAAAATCTGAAATACTTGGGACAAGAGGATAACTGAAATTTTCAATTAACTTTAAAGTTATTATAAAAAGCTGTAGTATGTCACAAAGCACCAAATAAAACACACTACTGTAAAATAATTATAAACTACACGTACTGTACTGTAATATATATTGTGTATAACTGAAATAAAACTAAATAACTTAATAAATAAGATTAATAATACTGTACTACAAAAACAAGTACAGCACAGTATAGTTATATATGTACAGCACATATCTAAAATTAAACATTTGACAGTTAAGGGCTGTGTATGCAGCTGCTTTATGAGTGAGTTACAGGTATATTTAAAGTTTTATTTAGTTTTTTGTTTCTTTATTTTCAAATTTCTCAGATAATTCACAATATGTTTAGAATTGCAACCTTTACAAAATATAAGTTGGTTCTTATGTTCTTTAAACAATAGGTAGACAGAAAACCCAAAAATTCAGATCAAATCAATTGATAGATAAATGCAGCATGTAATTTTATGTAATGAAGGCTGATCTCAGCAATAAATCTTATAATATTTTAATGCATAAGTTGAGTAATTTATGTCATCTTAAAAGATTATTTAGAAGTTAATCCCAAGTGGAATGGATAGATGAGTAACTAGTGACTGCCTCTTTCTAAACCATAGTAAAACAATACTGTATTGACACATGCATTATTCTTCTTGCCATACATAAAATGTTACCCTATCAATTACCTAACAATAGTTCTGAGACTCTCTAAAGTTTTCTGACAAAAGAGGAAATTAAGATTTGTTTGCATACTAATACTTGGATTATATCTTTAAGACTTATTTAAATATATGATGCCATTTTGAGCTATAATTTATTGATGATAGGATTTGGCTATATTTCCTGAGAGATATTTTCTCTAATTCACAGTTCCCTTCATTTCTGCATTTACAGGGGAATGTCAGGTTTTGTGCAGTGTGGCATAGCTGCGTTTGTTTACATTCAACTGAAACTCGCAATAGTAAACATACAAGGGAATCAGACTAAACAATATATATAAAAAACAAATATGTCCATGTTGAATGTTAATAGCATTTCTTATTAAACCTATTAACATTCAACAAATCTTTACATTGAGATATTTGTTTTGATATATATTTTTACTTTGATTCCATAGTATGTTTATTATTGCGAGTGTCCTTCAGTCGAATGTAAACAAACGCAGCGATGTCACACTGCACAAAACCTGACGATCTCCTGTAAATGCAGAAGTGAAGGGGACTGTGCATCTAGTTGCTATGATAGTTTTCATTCTTATGGGACACATGTTGATTGTAGAGCCAACCAACTGCTCAGGGTCCTCCCAACACCCCACCAATCCTCACTGATGGTGCTCAACAAGAAACTCACACTGTCTGGTTTATTAAATGTGTGGTGCTCCCCACTGCCAGGTGTATGATACATATGAACCCAAATTATACTCAATTATATGCAAATGAAGGCCCAAGATCTTTGTGGCATTTCCATCATGTGAAGTGGTGACACCCCCAAGCAGAATGTGTTAAATTAATCTTGGCAGTGATAAGTTGAGTGACCTCTTTAGATGTTGATGTACTGTAAGAGGAATAGCTGCCTACTTTCAAAGGTGAAAACTCAATTGCCTGTTCTTTATCTGATATTATAGGTGGAGTAACTGCACCCTTGGTCATACAGTACTTTGGTTTGAATGATATTATTTATAAACTGGTTAATATACTCTGAACAAGGTTACTGTATTCTTTGGAAAATGCTGCATTTGAGCCTTTTGTGAGTGAATGGAGTCCTACTTTACCCTTCTTTTCAATGCACTTATAATCCCTTTGATGTCCACACTTCAGCTGTGGGTAACCGTGTTTTGTATTTTTCACACTGTTATACCCTGATGGAGATACAATCTTCTGAGGAATTTTCTCGTGGTTCACAATGTATGAAGATCCTTATTTACATCTAATTTTATCACTCATCTTTACTGTCTCTTTTTTTCCTATCTCCACCAGAATATTTTCTATTGTCATCTCCATCTTCAATACTGTTCAACAATTTTGTTTTCCTCCTCATGCTAATTTAAACTTTTTAAAGATTTTGCCATTTTGCACTAAGTTTTGCTTACTTGTACTAGAATTAAGCAATTTATCAGTATACTGGGTCAACTTTGATTGCTGTAACACACTATTCTCCATAGCACAATATTCAGATTCTTTCTGGGTGCCTTCTATTGCATTTGAGGAAGTACTCTTTGATCTTGCACTTCTATCTTTGAAATACTTGGTAAATGCAACTGTTTTTGCTTGAAGAAAATTTAGCTCTTGATCTGTATTTTTTAAAACATGTTCCTGAAAAAAAAAACAGTAAAGGATTATAACACATGCATGCACACATGTGCACACACATACACACATTTTTCATTAATTAACAACAGAGGTAGAAAACTTCAAACTATACTATACTGTACAGTACTTCCCCAGGGAAATACCACTGCCATGATTTATAGGGGTTTAGGGAAAGCCTGGATCATTCATTCCTCCTCACTAAGCTAGCCATCACAAAATACATTATTTCCTTACCCAACAGATAAATCAAGAATGCATTTCTGTGGCCTGATTTAAACACCTTAAGGAACCCACACTATCCAAACTGAATATAAAAAGAGACAATAACTCAATAAATCAATATAGAACATCACAAAATATATAATTAATTAATACAGGAAGTCTCCATGTTATGAATGGAAATGTCCCGAGCAATCAATATATGACACCCTCATGAAAGAAGAGCTACCAACAGGCTTATTGCAATATCCATCATCCATGGTGTCACCTTATAATTTTAAATGAGTCTAATGACTGGGTTTTGACCCAATTTGAAACCTCACTGTTGTTTGTAGTAAAATCACAGTACAGGGTATTAACTGTACTTGTCCATCTGGATACAGGTAGTGCAGCCTGGCTAAAGACTGGCTCTACCAGAGGGTGTTTATCCCTTTGGATGTACTGTTTTTGATACCACACCCATAAGCAATGGCTCACTCAGCTGATCACTGCCACCCATGTTGTGTCACATACGTATATCTCTTTGCTCTCACAATTGGTTTTCACCATTACTTATGGATATTATAACGTCAAGATATGCTTTGTAAGGGTGTGTGTTATTTATAATGCAAAAAAAAAAAAAAAAAATTATATATATACAGTATATATATATATATATATATATATATATATATATATATATATATATATATATATATATATATATATATATATATATATATATGTATGTATGTATGTATGTATGTATGTATGTATGTATGTATGTATGTATGTATGTATGTATGTATGTATATGTATGTATGTATGTATGTATGTATGTATGTATGTATGTATGTATGTATGTGTATGTATGTATGTATGTATGTATGTATGTATATATATATATATGTATGTATAATATATATATATATATATATATATATATATATATATATATATATATATATATATATATATATATATATATATATATATATATATATATATATATATATATATATATATATATATATACAGTTGGTCCTCACATTAAGCGGTCCCGCATTCCGCGTTTCACCGTTAACGCGGTGCCTTGCCAGAACCTAACATTCTTACATTCCGCGGTCGCGAACGCTATTACGCGGAGAGCGGCTGGCAAGCCGCGCCATTTTTGGATCCAAACCTCCCGCCATCCGCCATGTTGTGTAAGAGGCGCGAGCAGGGTGCGCACAAGGTTGCCCAGTCATCAAAACATTACCGAGTTCTTTACCCGCCACAACCGGCCCAAGTCAGTGATAGTGATAATTATAGTGAGGATATGGACTTATATGGACTTTGAGGGGTTTAACAAAGAGGCCCTGCAAGCCTCTGTGGTGGATAGTGATACAATTGATACCAGTGATACAGGTGAGGGCCAATAATCTGCCCTCTGCCTCGGGACCAACCCCCCATCCCCGTGTGCCCAGCCATCTTTTCTACTAATGTAAGTGTTAAAAAACCTAATATTATTGATATTTCTCTTAATTATTAATTGTGTGTGCATGCCATCATAAAGTTAAGATAATATTTTTACTACAACATAGTTGTGTGTCGTCAAAAAGTGGAGTTTGGGGATCGGCCTGGACTGCATTTCAATTAATCCCATATGTTATGTTGTTCACTTTACGCGTTCCTCACTTTCCGCGGGACCCTCCGGGTTACATTAACCGCGTAATGTGAGGACCAACTGTATATATATATTTACCGAGTGAGGAGGCAGCTGAAATAATTAATAACCACTTTGCTACCATATGTCATACCTTACCCAGTCTTGACCTCACTCTCCTCCCGGCTTACTTACCTTCCCCCTCCCCCCTTCCCAGTGTTCAACCATTTGAAATCGCCAAAAAACTCCTGAAATTTAAATCCAAACGCTCCACAACCCCAATTGACCTCCCAATCAAAATTTACAAGGAGTTTGCAGTCGAACTTGCCACCTCCCTCTGTTCTATTATTAATGTATTCCTCAGACAAAGCAAATGCCCTAATGAATGGAAAACCGCATTTGTCACCCCTATCCCCAAGGTAACCACCCCACAATCCCCTAACAACCTCAGGCCAGTTGCCATTATCCCCATACCCAGTCTACTCTGTGAAGAGTTTGTTTTTGAGTGGGCATTTGCTAGAATTTATCAGTCAATTGATCCACAGCAATTTGGCAATATGAGGACCTCCTCTACATCACACTGCTTAGTTAGTTTCCTTGATTTCCTGCACAAAAACCTGCAGAAGCGTAAGATATCACTGGCCGTTGCCCTTGTTGACTTCAGGAAGGCTTTTGACCTTGTTGATCACTGACTGCACTGTTATCAACAAGGCCATTGCACTAGGGCTGCCCACCAACCTGGTCTCATGGCTCACTGATTTCTTGAGTGAGCGTCGTCAGGCAGTCAGGTACCAGAGTTCTGTCTCCACAGTCCAACTCCTCACCTGCGGTGTTCCCCAGGGGACCAAGATGGGACCACTGTGCTTCTTGATCAACGACGCTCTATAGGACACTCCTCACAGGTGGAAGTACGTGGATGACTGCACTGTGGGGGTTACAGTGGACAACACCTCACCGGACTACTCATCGCTACAAGACACCCTGAACAGGCATGGACTACGGAGAACAAGGTCACCATCAACCACACCAAAACAGTAGTCATGCACATCAATACCGCCACCACTTCAGTGCAAGCTCCAGCAGTCACAGTGGGTGCCCATCCTCTCCAGTTAGTGCAGTCTATCAAACTCCTGGGTGTTACCAAAGACCACAAACTGGACTGGAAGGTCCATGTAAACAGCACAATCAAGGCAGCCTCGTACCGACTCTACATGCTACGACGACTCAGGTCACTTGGGGCACCCACGCCAGAGCTGAGGACTATCTACCACGCCTTTATTCTCCCCAAACTAACGTATGCGTCACCGGCCTGGTCGTCTTCTCTCAACTCTACCCAACAACGTCAGCTAGATAAGGTACAGAAAAGGGCCAGTAGAATCATGCTCAGCGCAGAGTACTCCGGTTACAACAACGCTCTCTCCACCCTGGAAATGCCATCCCTCAGTGACCTCCACCACCAAGCACTAGCAAGGTTTGGCAGTGGACTACTGCACCATCCTCGTCATCACCACCTCCTGCCACCGGTAGTCCCTCACCCATAAGAGCCCGCACTGATAGATATAAAAATAGCATCATCCCATCTATTGTTAAAATAGTAAACAACTCCTGATTTATGTACAGTACAGCCCTGTAAATCAGGGGTGTCAAACTCATTTGCTAAGGCGGGCCAGATTTAATATATGAGTACACAGTATGTGGGCCAAGTAACATAATTATGAGCACATCGCAATCACCTCTTAGGTGAGTAGTACGACAAAGCAAGAAAGATGGATTTAGTCTGCGCTCGTGCGAAACCCTTAAAAACAAACAAATCAAGTGTTTACTTACCTTGATCACTCTTATTGTTTGCTACTGCTGCTTCCTGATAATTGGCACCTCTTGGTATGGACCAGTGCATCAAAGTTTGGCACTAACGACTGAGCTGTAGCAACCTTCAGTATTGAATTAAGGTGCGCATCAGTAAGTTGAGACTGAAGCCGTGACTTGTTCAAGTTTATCACAGAAAAGAGTTGTTCACAGTCATATGTACTTCCGAACATTGACATAATCTTTGAAGCAAAACATTTAATCCTGGGATAATTTGGTCCAAAATATTGATAAAATGTGCCAACATCAACACTCGAAAACTTGTTCCTCAACACAGAATCCCACTGGAGCTCAATTAATTCTAACTGAAGATGTTCTGGTACCTCATTAACACCAACAGAGAATGGGTCCCGAAAGATGAAAAAATCCTTCTCAAGTCTTTTAAAGTCAGCAAATCTTTCTTGGAACTCATTCATTAATTTGGAAATCTTGATGCAGTACTTTTTTGTGTTGATATCAGCATGAAATTCAGGTGTGCCTTGCAGGAACTTCAAGGTCGGAAAGTGAGAAAGATTACCCTCTGATAGTTGCCGTTCAAAAAGCTGATGTTTCATCTCAAAGGCACGAATGCAGTCATAAAACTCTGTCACCAGTTTATTGCGTCCTTGCATCTTTGTATTCAAGTAATTTAAGTGTTCTGTAATATCCACCATGAAAGTTAGATCTTGAACCCATTCATTATCTTTCAGTTCATGCAAATCCCTTCCTTTCTGTTCCATAAACATCTGTATTTCACTGCGCAATTCATAAAATCACTTCAGTACGACACCCCGACCTAACCAGCGAACATCAGTGTGATATGGCAGTCCGTGTGTGTTCTCATTTTCCTCCAATAAGCAGTTGAGCTGTCTGTGTTCAGACCTCGTGCGCGTATGAAGTTCACTGTCTTTATAACAACATCTATGACATTATCCATCTTAATGTTTTACTTCACAACACTTCTTTATGTATAATACAATGCACATTATAAATTTGATGGTTCGGGTTCACAGCTATTAGTTTTTCCTTTAATTTTGTTGCCACGCCAGCTTTTCTACCCACCATTTGCGGTGCTCCATCTGTAGCCAGACTCACAGTTTGTGCCTAGTCAACACCTAATTTATCCAGTGCCCCTACCAAACCCACAAGATGTCATCACCTGTTGTTGTTCCTTTCATTGGTACCAGTTTCACAAATTCTTCTGTTACTTGCATATTTTCATCCACACCATATACAAAAACTGCAAGCTGTGCTACATCGCTTACATCGGTACTTTCATCAATTGCAACTGAAAATGCAGTAAAGGACTTAACTTTGTCTTTGAGTTGACTGTTAATATTCTGATAATTCACCAATTCGTTCTGCAACTGTATTTCTTGAAAGGCTTATGTTTGCAAATGCTCTACGTTTTTCCAGGCAAATACCTTCTGAAGCCATCAACATACATTTCTTTATAAAGTTCCCCTCAGAAAACGGCTTCAATGACACAGCTATTTCATGGGCAATCCTGTAACTTGCCTTAACTGCAGCATCACCGACTTGATGAACACTCTTAAATACAGACCGCTGCTTTTTCGATGACTGCTCAAACTCCATAACTTTGTCTTCAAGTAACTTTCCACTATATTTATTGTACAGTAGTACCCAGATTTACGAGGTCAATTGAACCCACAGGGTACTGCGGAAAGTGAAAGAAAGTGAAAACCGCATAAAGTGAACAACAGAACATATGGGATTAATTCCAATAGAGACTGGCCCGACCCCCAAACTCCACTTTTTCCGACACAATAGACACAATACCTATGTTGTAGTAAAAATAACATCTTAATTTTATAATGGTATGCACGCACAATTAATATTTAAGAGAAATACACTCGCCAGGTTAATGTCCATTCAAATAATGGACTCACATCCCCCCCTCCCTCTTCCCAGCTCACTAGCTCCTACCTCTCTGAGAAATGTTTGGGTGAAAACACTAGATTTTAACGTTTAGTAATAAATAATACCTCAGACTAAAGTTAGGATAATATAATTGACATTTCTGGATTCATTGCAGGTCAGGGAATATTTTGAATGTAAACTTCATATATTTTGCACCAAAGATAAAATATTTGCTTTGTGTAAACCAAATTATTACATTAGATCTAAAATTTGTATGTCTAATGCAAAATCTATGATGTTTATATTCAAAATGATCATCATATTGTAAGAATTCCAGCAATGTAAATTATATTCTGGCTGAGTAATTTGTATGAATTTTATGAGCTAAAACAAATATCTTCAGTTAAAAAAAAAAAAAAAATATTCTTCAAGACACTATCTGTCAATCAAAATACCCCACCTCCGCCCTAGCTGGGTCGGTCCTTCCCTCCCTACCCCCCACCCCCCACCTTCCCTCCCTACCAGAGAAACGTTTGGGAGAAAATAGTATACAGTAATACCCCGCTTAACACGGTTTCGCTTAGCGCGATTTCACGTATACGCGGTGCCTCGCCAGAGCTGAACTTTCACTTAATGCGGGTTTTTTCCACATATACGCACAGAGTGTCCGGCTCGAGAGCTATTTTTAGATTCGCCCCACCCGCCACCCGCCTGCCTGCCTGTTTTAGCTCATAAAATTCATACAAATTACTCGGCCAGAATATAATTTACATTGCTGGAATTCTTACAATATGATGATCATTTTGAATATAAACATCATAGATTTTGCATTAGACATACAAATTTTAGATGTAATGTTTACTCTGAGTAAATATGTTATCTTTTGTGCAAAATATATGACATTTATATTCAAAATATTCCTGGTCTTACAAGGAATCCAGCAATGTCAATTATATTATCCTAACTTTAATCTGAGGTATTATTTAATACTAAATGTTAAAATTTAGTTTTTTCACCCAACATCTCTTGAAGGGAGGATTGGTGGGGGGTGGGGGGGAGGGTTGGGACGGACCACGTGGTTGGAAGAGGGGGGAGGCAAGGTGGGGTACTTTGATTGACAGATAGTGTCGTGAAGAATATTTTTTTTTTTATTAACTGAAGATATTTGTTTTAGCTCATAAAATTCATACAAATTACCCGGCCAGAATATAATTTACATTGCTGGAATTCTTACAATTTGGTGATCATTTTGAATATAAACATCATAGATTTTGCATTAGACATACAAATTTTAGATATAATGTTTACTCTGAGTAAATATGTTATCTTTTGTGCAAAATATATGACATTTATATTCAAAATATTCCTGGTCTTACAAGGAATCCAGCAATGTCAATTGTATTATCCTAACTTTAGTTTGAGGTATTATTTATTAAAATTTAGTGGTTTTCCCCCAAAAATTTCTCAGAGAGGGAAGAGCCAGCAGTGTAGTGTGAGAAGAGGGGGAGGGAGTTGAGTCCATTATTTGAATGGACATTAACTTGGCGACTGTATTTCTCTATTTCTCTTAAGTATTAATTGTGTGCATGTACCATCATAAAATTAAGATGTTATTTTTACTAGAACATAGGTATTGTGTCGGAAAAAGTGGAGTTTGGGGGCCGGGCCAGTTTCTATTGGAATTAATCCCATATGTTCTGTTGTTCACTTAGCGCAGTTTTCACTTAGCACGGTACCCTGTGGGTTTTATTGACCGCGTTAAGCGGGGTACTACTGTATTTACATTTTTAGTAATAAATAATAACTCAGACTAAAGTTGGGATAATATAATTGACATTTCTTCCTTGCAGGTTAGGGAATATTTTAAATGTATACTTAAGATATTTTGCACAAACAATAAAATATTTGCGATGTGTAAAACAAATTATTACATTAGATCTAAAATTTGTATGTCTAATACAAAATCCATGATGTTTATATTCAAAATGATCATCATATTGTAAGAATTCCAGCAATGTGAATTATATTCTGGCCGGGTAATTTGTATGAATTTTATGAGCTAAAAAAAAAAAATAGAAAAATAAAAAAATATACTTCACCGCGTATATGAGTAGATGCACCGCGGAAAGTGAAAGTCCGGTTCTGGCAAGGTACCGCGTAAATGTGAGAAATCGCGGAAAGTGAAACCGTGTAAAGCGGGGTAATACTGTACTTCATAGCATGGTTAGTTTCATAATGCCTTCGAACATTGTATTCTTTGGCCACAGCAACTGTTGATTACAAATCAAACATGTTGGTTTTCCATTCATTTAAAAAAAAAGTATAAGATTTTCCACTTATCCTGTACCACCCGACACTCTTCATTAACTGTTCTTTTCTTTGAAAACATAATTATGGGCTCAAAAGTAAAAACAATGATCACTGCTGCTTTGGATATTTGCAACGTTCCAACTGCCTCGAGCGACTATGCAGGACTAGTACTTGAATGACTAGCCAAGCGAGAGCCTGCCGCGTCTGAGTTTTCATGTCTAATACCTGTACTGTACGGAGTGTATACGTGAACAGCAGTCAGACGGCCGTCTCACAACTCGTACAGTGGCACAACCACAATTAACCGTTAAAACTATCACTAGTCTTATTGTCCTTTCATTGGTGATGTTGATTGAGAATTTTGTTCTAGGAAACAGCAGACTATTTTATTCAGCTGAGGGATACACTCACTATTTAGTTTCAGCTCCTCAAGGTAAGGCTGGAGCAGCAAATGGGCCGCGGGCCGTATGCAAGAGTGTGTCGGGCCGCATGTTTGACACCCCTGCTGTAAATGTATTCAACGCATATCATTATGTCTAAATCAGTGTTTCTCAAACTTTTTCACTTCATTACCCCCATGAGGAACACTCAACATGGCCCCCCTTCAGTTCTCTCCCAAGCCCCTCACAAATAATGATGAAAATAAACTGTTTTGGTTCTCTTCCTTTATTTTAATGTTTTCAATCATCAAATAGGATGCATATTTTGTTACAGTTCAATGGGATGGATGACATTGTTTCCTTTCAGTCAGTCGACTGATTCGAGGTTGAGTCACTGATAAAGCACATCTTATCCACATGTAACCGGTTTTGGCTTTTATTCTCTATTTGAAGAAGGTGGAGAAACCAGATTCACATAAATAAGTAGTAGAAAATGGCAAGAGGACTCGAAGTGCGATCTCACTAACTTTTGGATATGACTGATACATTGAGCACCAAAATAGAGTCAGAAATTTTTCTTCCTAGAGGTCTGTGGCAGCAGAATCGTTCTAAGATCAAGGAATTCGTCTGAACAGGAACTAGAATCATACAATCTGACCGAATCCGTTGGAAATGATAAACTAGCTGCTGCACCATACTATGTAAATATCAAAACTGTACGTATGGGTATTATGATTACACACAATGACAAAAAAAAAAAAGGAAAAAAAAAAAATGTCTCCCCTAACAAGGCAAAATAACAAAAAAAAAGTTGAATGAGAGCACTTACACTAGCCTGCCATGGCTCCCAGTTTGAGAAACACTGGTCTAAATCAAATGTAAGTTTGAACATTTTCAGCCACCGGCTGCAACTCTATTAATAAACCGTTTACTATTATTATTATTTATTATTATCACACACACACACACGTCAGTTGGTGACTGCCCAGTTGATATGTGTTGCATGATGGCTCGATTTGGTTACATTTGCACTTGGGCAACTGATCAGTGAATAAACCAGGGCATATGGAGAAGTATTATACCCTGTACACTGCAATAATATTCATAAGTTCTGAAAAATACACTACAATATTAATTCCTAGTGCCCAAGACAGAGCCTGTAGTAAGTAGGTAGAAGAATTACCCCAATGTTTTTGGTATAAAGTACCATACATTGCACCACAGAGTATCTCAGGCACCAGAATTAATATTCAACACTCTCTGGTAAAATTTGGTTCCTGTGGTACTAACCTTGTAACACCCAACAACCTCCGCCATTCATATCAGGCCAGCCACTGCATGCAGAATGTCTCCACTATTCCAGTAAATCCAATGTCATAGATTTTATTTAATTTACAGTGTAATTCATTTCATGTGAATTCCAACTATCTGAATCTTCCAGGTATCCCAACTTTGTCCACTTTGGTAAAAATTCAAATTTATTCCAACAATCTGTAAGCAACTGAAGTTATTTATTTATATGTCTGACACCTGTAGCACTATAACTGCTTTTTAAAAAAAAATTGCTGTGATAAACAATAAAATTGATACATCGTATATCATAAGATACAATAGCACATACTTTATGTCCAAAAAAATAGCTCCTTCCACACTCAAACCATCATCTAAGTCAGGCATGGGCAACCCACGGCCCGTACTGAACCATGTCTTTGTGCAGCCCTCAGAGTAATTGACAAATTTTATGTAATATGGCCCACGGTTCAGGTAGATGCAGTGGAATTTTATAAAAAGAAAGACTGATGTCCTGACCAATTCTTCCTCTAGTAAATCCTTCTCGTCCTGAACCAAAAACATCTGTAATAATTTCTGCACTCTCTTTTTTCCTCCTCTCTTCTGACCTGATAACTCTATAGCCAACTCTCCCTGATAAAGCCAATCTTTTTGGCACCTTATTCTCCTCTAACTCCATCTTAGACAATTCCCACTCTATCCCTCCTACCACTGCTCCTCCTACTGAACCTATGCACTTTCCTATAATCTCCATTCATAGGGTTGCTGGTGTGTTATCCAGGTTGGATGTGAGTAAGGAGCATGGACCGGACAGAATACTCCCTCGTGTTCTGAGGGAGTGTGCTGAAGTTCTGGCCCCTGTGCTTGCTCGCCTCTTTTGCCTTTGCCTCAAAACCCAAACTTTTCCTTCTTCTTGGAAGCATGCCTTGGTTCAGCCCATCCCAAAGAAGGGTGACCATTCTAATCTCTCTAACTAGCACCCCATTGCCCTAACTTCATCCCTCTCTAAGATTTTTGGAACTATTTTGAACTCCCATTTTCTCTGTCACCTTGAACGCCATTCTCTTTTGTCGGATCACCAATATGGCTTTCAAGAGGTGAGATCTACTGGTGATCTGCTCTCCTACTGCACCCATCTTTGGTCATCCTCTCTTAGGGATTATGGGGAAACTTTCATTGTGGCCCTCGACATCTCCAAAGCATTTGACAGGGTATGGCACAAGTCTTTGCTTTCTAAACTTCCCTCTTATGGTTTCTCTTCCCCACTTTGTTCTCTAATCTCTCACTCTTCCTCTACCAGTAGTAGTGTCCCACAGGGTTCTGTTCTTTCACCTACTTTCTTCCTTCTTTTTATCAATAATATACTTCACACTACAACTAATTCTAGCCATTCTTACGCTGATGATTCTACTCTTCACTCTTCTTCACATTTTTCCCTTCTCCCTAACTCTCAAACTAGATCTGTATAAACCATTGTTATAAAGATAATATTCCACACACACACACACACACACACACACACACACACACACACACACACACACACACACACACACCCACACACACACACACACCCACCCACACACACACACACCCACACACACACACACACCCACACACACACACACACACACACACACACACACACACACCGCACATCTGCAAATTTGGTAGGCTTCTACATCCCCAACACCAGCCCTACTACCTGAGATCCCCTGTCCAGAGTGTGTTAAGCCACAGCATCCAGCCCACACGTGCACAGTCAGTCGCTATAAGAACAGCCCAGTCCCAACCATTGTAAAATTATCAATAACATGTAATAAATCAGTGTATTCTCCCAGTAAACACTGCTCCCTACACTGTCACTATGTTGAAATGAACTGTAGTTTGAGCTGATCCCCATCTAAGTTACTATATGTCTTATTTGTGTCACTTATGTCTTGTATATTATTTGTAATCAACCCATTCCCCAAATATGTAACTGTATATTTTCAGCCTTCACGCTGCAAGCTCTTTCAATAAACCGTTAATTATTATTATTATTACACACACACACACACACAGACACACACACACACACACACACACACACACACACACACACACACACACACACCACACACACCCCCATGTGCATGCTT